GTTTACCCAGAATGTCCTGTTCTGAGCTTGTCTTTTCTGAGAAGACTGAAGACAAGTGCTTCTCAAGATAACTGATCAAATTCTCTCTCATGTAAGAAGTCTGTTCTGAAGTCAGCAGATGTCCAGACATTTTGAGGTGAGGGGAAAGTACAAAAAAAAAGGTGGTTAAATGACCTAGTCTTAGGATTTTTTGTTGAAATGCTGAAGAATTTATACACATGTGTGTGCATGTTATGTGCATCAGAGAATGAATAATCACTAGTAGGGTGTTCAGTGAATTAAACACAGAGGCCATTAGGGGAGGCGCTAATGTCTGGTAGCCTAAGTATGCAAACCAAAACCTAAGCCTGTAAGTGCCTCACGGTTAAGAAACGGAAACCTGAGGACAACCAGTCACAAATAACCAGCTAGGTTTTGAGAGACAACCAAACCGTAATCTCCTGGCTTTGCTTCTGCCTTTTCCCTGTGAGTCTCTCCCCAGCGCCTGTCAATGGTGCACTCCTAAACACTTCCGGTTTGGTGCCGCTCGACTGGAATCCATTTTTGTTGAAATAAACTTCAAACATTTTAATATACCTCAGTTTACCTTTTAACAAGAGGTTTGTCTCTGCCAAGAGTGATTAGCAATTTCCTCAAAGCTCTATTCATCCTCCACTAATGTTCACTTATACCTGCTGGAAATGTACTAGGGACTCTCCTGTGACACCTAAGACGGACATTCCAGCATACTTCAGAAAAATCAGTCCCTTTTAATTTTTTCGTTTCTCTCAAATAACCTAATTTAGGCAAAGTTAATACAGAGGATTGTGGGAGGGCGGTTTGCAAGGCGTGAAGGGTAAATATTAATTCTCTTGCGGAGCGCTCTTTCTGTCGTTAATGCTTCCCAAATGCTGAAGTATTCTAATTGCCGTAGGCTCTTATGGGGCCGCGCAGCCACCACTCTGTAGACCCCTGGGTGGTGAAGGCCCCGGTGGCGGTTGATGTGAATCTGCTCTGCTCTCAGCTCAGCGTCTGCACGCTACCTTTCTGAACAAAGGCCAGTGCCATCTTGTTTACTGTTTCTGTCTTCTCTGAGCGGTGAAGTAGAGAGTTAAAGATTCCACTTAGTAACTACCTGTAGTTTTACTGTGTATGGAATAAGCAGTGTGAATTATACTGGAGAAGTAGTGAGTGGTAGTCGGATTCAGGGACTTGCTCTTTGGTGTTTCCTGCTGCAGTGAAGAGAGCATGGTCTTTCCCTGGGACGCCAGTCCTAGCGGTCACCCTGATTTATGGTTTTAAAAATATGCCGTCTTTGAATCACATTCATTACGGCATACTCTTGGAGGTAGTTTTTCACTAATGATGATGAATTCCTGCTGATCCTAGCACTCTTCTGAGTCCTTTTGTGTGCCCAAGATCTTTCATTTGCAAGACGAATGGCTCATTCAGGGACAGCCTGCACAGAAATGAGAGAAGTCAACTGGACCCTAGTTGTGCGAGTATTTTTTAAACCTAAGCTGAGTTACACGGTTTTTGTTTTTTGGGATTGAGGGTTTTTTTTAGCTTCTTAATATGTGGGGGGAAAGTATAAAACTTAATAAGAAAAGAAGTATAAAAGTTCTCATATTTAGTTTTGCTTTTAATTAATTATGCTATTGAAAAGAATACAATTACAGGAAATAGAGAATGGCCCAGAAAACGCAAGTCAAGTCTCTGAATTCTGACTTCTTTCTGAACCTCCGGTGTGTATTCCGGCTCCCTCTGGATGACCTTCAGGCATCTCAGATTCAGCCCGTCCAGAAGTAAACCCCTTATCTTCTTTCTCAGACCTCCACCTGTGCTCTCGGTCTCTGATGTGCTTCTCAAGTTTGAGTCATCCTGGTCTCTCTTCTCTCCGGCCTCACAGCAAGTCAGCCACCGTGTCCCATCGACTCCTTGCTCCTCCCTCCATTCCAGTGCTCTGTCTTAATTCAAACCTTCATCATCTCTCCCAAACAAATCCTACTCGGATATGCCTCCTCTAGCCTACAGTGTGAAGTCACAGTCTGGCTTGGCATACACGGTCCTTCCTGACTTATTCCCACCCAGCTTTAGCCCTCTCCCCACCAGCTACTTTCACACAAAGTCCTTTCACAATTCCATGGCCACCTCTGAACCGGACGTCCCTGCCTTCTCTACTGGGCAAGCATTGGTTCATCATGTAAGACTTAGCAAATGTTGTTTTCTTTGGGGGTGTTCCCTGACTCCATCTACTGAGTTAGCTATCGAGTCCTCATAGCTGTCATCCATACCTCTCTTGCATAGGATAATTATCTGCTTGTCTTTCTTGCTCCCTAGAGACCATGGTCTCATCAAGGGCATGGACTTTGTCTTAATCATATATTTCTAGCAATCAGTGTCTTAATCATATATTTCTAGCAATCAGTCAAATGCCTGGTGACTAGGAGGGTCTCAGATGTTTTCTCAATGGATGGATGAATGAATGAATGGAACTTAAACCCTGGAATATGGTAATAACATGTTCTAAATAACTGAGGCATTGGGGCTTCCCTGGTGGCGCAGTGGTTGAGAGTCCGCCTGCCGATGCAGGGGACACGGGTTCGTGCCCCGGTCCGGGAAGATCCCACGTGCCGCGGAGCGGCTGGGCCCGTGAGCCATGGCCACTGAGCCTGCGCGTCCGGAGCCTGTGCTCCGCAACGGGAGAGGCCACAAAAGTGAGAGGCCCGCGTACTGCAAAAAAAAAAAGAAAACCTGAGGCATTTACCCTCAAACAGGGAATATCTGCAGGAGTACGTGCCTTGAGTAGATATTAGGGGATCCGTTTTTACCCTTGAACCTGTGCAGAGTCTTTCTTCTAAGTACCTTCCCTTCTGTACTCCTCCAAGTGCGTTACTGGTCTCTCTTACCTTCCTCCCACTCCACACACGCACGTATGACCACGTAATTTTCTCTTTGGTGTATCCCCTTTATTAAGAGCCTTCTCCAATTGATGGCAGAATTTTGACTTCTGTCACCCAGATAACTCAGCCTCGACCTTTCCTGTCCTCTCTCCTCAGGCCTGGTGTCAGGACACCACAGTTGTTACTCTTCTAAATGCTGCTGATCAAAGAGTTCTACTGTTAAAAGCAATGAGACCCATTACTCTTTAACAATCCCGTGATCACCACCCCCGCCAGATAGTCTCATCAGGCAGTGGATTCCACCATGGGCGTTTTGGGCCGAGTGCCCTGTGCTGCCCGTGCAGCAGGCATCTGGGGGCCCCAGATGATCCCAGCCTCCCTGCAGGCAAAGCCATAGGAAGCCCAGGCAGTGGGGGTGAACCAGTTCTCCTCGGCCAGCCACGGGCAGTGCATCCAAGCAGAGCCCTGGGGGTCGGTGGTCAGGGGAAAGTCAGCCCTGGGAGCAGCTCATTGTGACTAGTCTGGCGGCGTTACTTCCTCCAGGTGAGGCAGGAGAGGGGAACTGCACGCGCTCAAGGGCAGCGTGAGCTTAGCTTAAATCCTCCCGTTACAGGCGAGTGCAGCAAATTCATCAGGAGACATGATGATCAAGTTTGATAAATAAGGAGATGTGGAGTTGCGATCTTCTTGAGTTAGAAAATGGTCCATGTAAAACCCCTGCGAAAATCACCCATAGACTGAGAAGTAGTTGCTTATTAGCGTTAGAAGATATTTACCATGTAGTGAGTGACGGGAATCTGCTTTCTCCCTTTCCTCCATCACACATTTGTTTATTTCTAATGTTTGAAATTGGGGCACCAGGTGTTGCTCTTCTGTGGGGATTCTTCTATTACTCTTAGACATTCCTTGGACACCTGGAAGATGTGGAAGAGCTTTGATGTCCTTTTTTAGAATAGAGCCTTGGGAATCACTTTAGAAAGATTTATGTTAAGTAGAGCATTAGCATCCCTAAAAAGCTCATTTTGACTGTGCCTTCCTAACTAAATATTTAGGAGTTCACGTTTAATCATACGGTTCATTCAGTGCTGTAATTTCCTTAATCCCGTGCTTACTAGATCAATAACTGCTTAAGCAAGATTGAATCTGCAGTTGGTTGACCCCCGCCTCTCACATCCACTACTAAGAGCCCACCCCTTTCCCTGTCTGCGTTTGTTCACCACCCTTCAACGTTGATCACGGACGTAGCGCCTCCCCTGGAAGCCACAGAAGTGCTAAATTAAGTCAAAGTGTTAGAGTTAGAACTTCCAGAGTGTCGGGAGCCAGAGGGAGGAGAGCCTTATGAAAGTTAAAATGGAGTAACAGAGAATGGTATGTGGCCATGATGAACTACGAAGGACGCCATATGGTGTTGAAATAAGATCTGCATGCGGTGCTGCTGGTTGGGTGAGCCTTGGTCTGTCTTGAGGTGAAGGCAGTGGCTCCCATTTTCTGCCAGAGGGCTGGAGGGCTGGCTATAATGGGTGCAACAGGGGGAGAAAAGGGGACCACGGGGTAAAAATGGCCTTGAGACTGAAGGGAGATATGACACAAACTACTCATTCCCCCAACTTGGAACTTGGACACGGTAATGTCTTCAGCGGGCTGCACTGGGGTCCTTGTGATAGAGACCAAAAGCTAAAAAGAGATGTGTTTGGTTCTTCCTCATTCAGCCACTCCCCCCGGGCTTCACTTCTAAGGCTCCAGTCCAGGCATTACCTGATCTGTATATCTATATTTGCGTGTCAACACCAGTGCCTGTATATCTATAGATCTAGGTGTATAGATGTACCAAGGCATTTTTTTAGACAAGAGGTAACAAATGCTTGGAAGCAGATGTCCATGAACTTCTCCCAGTCGTATTTAGAGTTTGTTTTAACCTAAAGTTATGGACACAGACATGAAGGGAGACCTCCCCCACCTTGCTGCCATGTAAGTACAAAAAGGCACAAATGGGATGGATATTGATGATGTTATTTCTGCTGCGACATCATCCATAGACTCCTAGTGTCTTTGCTTTGCTTCCCTGTAGTGATCACAACATAAATTACTTGTCTTGTTTGACTTCCTTGTTCACCAAAGTTGAGCAGATTGTGGCCGTTTTCAACGCTTCTACCAGACAAAAAGCTTGGGACCATTTCTCGAAAGCTCAGCGCAAGAACATAGACATTTGGCGAAAGCATTCTGAGGTTGGTGATTTTATTATTACTTTTTTAACCACCATCACACAGCTGGATTGGCAGGGAATAGTGTGGCTGCAGCCACGATGGTTTTTGTCACAGTGGGCGGTCATCGCGCCCTCACCGTCAGCTCCAGATCCAGTTCAGATTTGTTCCTTATCCAGAAGAGCAGCTGACTTAACGCTTAGAGGACAGAGCGCTTGTCTCCCCTGCAAAGGGAGAAAAGCATCTCTCCCATTCGTAGTAAAGAGCTCAGAAATAAGACACTCTGCCTAATCACTGTGCAAAACAAGAAAAAGAAAAAGTGTAACGCAAACTAGAAAACTAGTTTTTAAATTACTGAGTTTCTTTTCAGTGTTCTGCAGCATGATGGTGACGGTTTGCTCTTTGGCTAGAAATGGCAAGTATGCCTTTCATCCACATCTTCTCATCCTAAGCAATGTCTTCGTCCCCTGTGCTAGCCAGCAGGTCCTATCAGACCTCTCCCCAGAGCAGATTTCCTCAGGGAAGTGAATGTCCAGGCTAGCCCTGTCCACCCTTCTGCATCAATGCATGTGTGAAGTGTGAGTATCTACCCCAAGGCAAGAGTTCAGAACTTAACCTTCGCTGCCACCTAGAAGGACCAGATTGTGTCATTAGTCACTGGTGGTCCAGCGGTTATTTTTAACTCCTCAGTGTAGTGTACGCTTTGAACCTGTAATTTAAAAGTAAGTATACTGTCTTTGTTTGCTTCTTCCTTTTTTTTTTTTAATGAGAGAATGTTTTTCATTTGGATGCCTCTCCGTCTCTAGCATGTTACTATTAAAGTTCTCTAAATGATAATCCCCTCTTTCCAAATCCCAAACTTATAGAAGGTAAGGTTTATTAATTTAATGATTTTGGCTCACACTTGTAAAATAAGTTCTATGTAGAGTTTGAGGAACCACAGAGTACTGCAGTATCAATCATTTGGGGAGCATTTTAAGTGCCCATTAACTAATGCTGAGTTACAGTTGAATACCAGTGGCACTTGACGTAGCATCCACATGCACACCAAGTGAATTGTTTATTATCACTGTTATTACGGTGAGTACTGAACGACTGCGCAATAATGGGACACTTAAAAGGCTAGTGCAGTTTATAATTAAGAAGGCCAGTTTTTATTTTGTTCACAAATACCGAGAAGGTGCTTGGTGACTGATGCAGGAGGCGGGATTTCTCTTTTATCCTTCGGGGGCCAGAAAACCAAAGGGTGCTTACCCTGTGCTCTCCCAGACACTGACTTGAGCCCCACGTCAAGGTTGATTTTCATGAGGAAAGAGTCCCGAAAATCAATGACGAAATACATGAATCGAGGGTTCTGAAACACTAATTGGAATCCATAAACTGTGATTCAGATTTGGGAATGATCTGCCTGTGAATTGTTTATTCATTTATTTATTTTTGGCTTCACATGAAACCAGACATGATTAAAAGAAACGTTAAGAGAAGGGCAGGTGGCATGATGCTGAATAAACCCGGGCATAAAAAAGACTGTCGTTAATCTGGGAGTGGCGGCAACTGTCCGTTACTGATCTAAATCACGCTTCCTGCCACGTCGTATCCCGTTCCCCCAGCCCTGCCTCCCCCGTGCAGGGCCATCCCCTCCCTTGCTGAACAGGACACGGGAAGGCTTCCAGCCTTGTCCCAAGGAAGCCTGCTTGCTTTGCTCCCTACTGGGAGGTAGAAAGGGACACAGCCCAGAAAGATGCTTCTGGAAAGGGTCTTCGTGTCTCCCTGCCACTCCCACCACCACCTCTTCTGATATAGGAGGAAATAGAATTCTAAATTACCTTTGATTTCCTCTCCTACGTGTTGCCCAATTGATTAAATACCAGTTGGCAATTTAACATTGTGGATGATTTCTCAGTTGCATATGAGCTTGATAATTGGCTTGATTTTTCCACGTTCCTGTGAACAGCATCTGTTAATTACCTGCAGCACCTTTACAGATTTATTAGAGAGTACAAGTGATTTACTGCTGAACCAGAGGCACCCTGTGGAAACAGCCTCAGCTTTTTTTTTTTTTTCCCTCCAATCTTTTCCTTTCTGCCACCCTTCCCCACGAGAACAGCTGATGTATGACAGTTTGTCATTAACTGTAGGAACTAAACAACAGGCCCTTTTAGCCTCGTTTATTCTTTCCACCTGAAGTTTCTTTGCTTCAAGTATTTTCAGGCCACCTCCTCGGGAATTGGGCTCTTTGTCGGTAGAAAGATTAGTTGTCCACAACCTAAAAACTTCCCCACTAATCACATGTGACATCCGCCTCCAAGACCCGTTGGTGTTACTTAAGGTGGAATTGGCCCCTCTTTCTACAGGGTGGCATGGTCAAGTGAGGGGACACTGCCTGTCATCCTGGTGCCTCTCAGGACTGCCCTGTGATGGGTGGCCCTGTCCCAGGGACCTTGCCTTCTTCCCTCCCCCTTTCCCTGTCTTTGGTGACTTCCCTGTCTTTGTCTCTGCCATTGTGGTTCCCAGGGTTCAGAGCTGACCATGCAAATCTGGTTAGCAATACAGAATTCCCTTCCCATCGTGCTACAGTTAAAATCTGTGTGCTAAGGAGAGAAGAGAGTTGAGAGCGCCTATAACAGAATAATATAGACACATCCATCCATCGAATGAGCACTTTAAACTGTGTTTAAAGTCATGCCATTAATACATTAGGTGTTGTAATTTAGTTTTATTCTTATTCATAGATTTATTATAAAGTGAAATTATTTTAACTGTTTGACTTTTTTTTTAGACTCCAATTTAAATGGGGAGAAAAACAACAGTGCAGCTCTTTCCACCCCACCCCGCTTTTTTTCTGTTGTTTTGAGGACAGAACATATAAAAGAACAGAATGGATACGGATTTGCAAATATATAATTTACAGCTTGATCCAAAATAATAATATAATTATTTAATGTAAGCAATTAGTGTCCTGATTTTTAAGCACAGTAGTAAACAATTTATTGTGTAATTCTTTACTTTTTACAGTGAGTTTTCACATATACTCTTGCAGTCAAACAGCCTTGTATTACTACTACCCCATTTTTGTGTGAGTAGACAAAGGCTCAGGAAATTAAATGCCTTGATTGCAGTCACCTTTCTAGGAGGTGGAGAAACAAACGACCCTTAGATCTTAAAGGGACGCTAAAACAACCATTACAACATAAACAATAAACCCCACGTGATAATTTAAAACACCAACAAAGAAGGCATCTGTTTTCATTTTGTCCTCCGACATCATTTGAATTTCACCATTTGGATATCTGAAGTGTGTGTATGTATGTGTGTGTGTGTGTGTGTGTGATCACACATGGGCACATACACACATGCAGGGACACTATTTTGCATGAATAATAATAGTGGTCAACATTTTCAACTTAATGAACCAAGTCTCTCACATGATGCTAAGTATCTCACGTGCATTAACTGTTTTATCCTCAAAACTCTCCTTGTCACACTATCTCAGTGAGTGAATTGACACTAAGAAAGATGAAGAAACGTCCCTGAAGTGACACAGTGGGTCAGTGGTAGACCAGCCTTTTAAAAACTTCTCTTGCTCACATTCCTAGCCGCCCCTACGTTCCAGTTCTGGTAATAGGCATTTCTATGGGAGCCTCACGACAGCCCTACCAGTTGGACGTTGTTGTCCCCCTTTTTACAAATGAGGAAATTCAGAGATTAAATAACTTGCTGAAGAGCCCTTGACTCACCATTGGTGATCAGGAATTTCTCCCAAGTCTGATACCAAATCCCTCGATTGGTCCACACCCCAGACCCCTCAGAACTTCACTCTAGATTAGGCGGGGCAGTGTTTGGGAGGTGAAGACATTCCTATGTCAGTCATAACACACGGAGAGACCATTGGGAAAGGTGTGTCATGTGTCGCTGACTCTGACGCCCGTGGGTCCTCTGCTTCCAGGAGCTCCGGAACGCTCAGAGTGAGCAGCTTATGGGCATCCGCCGCGAAGAAGAGATGGAGATGTCGGATGATGAGAACTGTGACAGCCCTACTAAAAAAATGAGAGTTGATGAATCAGGTAACGTGGATAACTGCCACATCCCTGTGAGATACCTTAATGATCTTCCTAATCTTAGATGGGGCATACAGATTGGGAAATGGCCACATAACTCACTTTTATTGGAGTTAAACTAAACTTTCATCTTTGACTGACTCTGCCTTGTATTAATAGAACTTGAAATTCCTTCTTGGGAACATAATGATTTAAATTGTTCCAGTTGTTTCTCTGTTTGTGGGTCTGGGGCCACACTTACTTTCAGGGATATTTGCCTGTTCCCATAAAAATCCTTTTCCACAGTGTGGCAGCCACCTCTGATGCTGAAATACAGATAAAATTTGGTTTCGGTCGTGTACTTCTTACATGGGAAACGTTTAATCCCTAAAGAAGCTTTCTAGCCTCTGAAGCAATGTGCTGGAGAATTAGACTGCTTTCCAATCAATTTTAGTTCCTAACCTGTAATCAAAGGGATGGTCCCGTTTGGTACCAAGAAAGGGGCATCAATCCTTGAGTTATAAAAAGGAGAGAAGCTTAAAGAGAACCTTGATTGATATTCTCTGCCTAATCTGAGATGCTGATTTAAAACTCTCTTCTCAAATCGTATGTTATTCCCTTGATGTTGTAAAAGCAAGCAGAAGTGCTCACTCAGACGTAGGAGGCACCAAGGGAGACTGCTTGTCTGAGGGGAAGGGTGTTTCCTAAAGGGCCTGGGAACAACCACAGTCGCCACCTTTGGCAAAAAGGGAATAAAACACTCACCTCTCCCAGGCCTTTTCGGGTGACCAGGAACAGAGGATCTTTGCTGGTTTGGTTCGTAGAAGCCAAAATCAAGATTCCAAAATGGTCAAGTCATCAAGATTACAGAGCGGTCAGTTAGGTTGACCGGTCAGTTCCACATCTTGGCTGTTGTGAATAGTGCTGCTATGAACATAGGGGTGCATGTTTCTCTTTGAATTATAGCTTTGTCCAGATATATGCCCAAGAATGGGATTGCCGGATCATATGGTAATTCCATTTTTAGTGTTCTGAGGAACCTCCGTACTGTTTTCCATAGTGGCTGCACCGACGTACGTTCCCACCAACAGTGTAGGAGGGTTCCCTTTTCTCCACATCCTCTCTAGCATTTGTTTTTTGTAGATTTATTGGTGATGGGCATTCTGACCCATGTGAGGTGGTACCTCATTATGGTTTTGATTTGCATCCTCTAATAATTAGTGATGTTGAGCATCTTTTCATGAGCCTACTGGCCGTCTCTATTACATCTTTGGAGAAATATCTATTAAGGTCTTCTGCTCATTTTTCAATTGGGTTGTTTGTTTTTATTGTTGTTGAGTTGTATGAGCTATTTGTATATTTTGGAGATTAAGCTCTCGTCAGTCGCATCATTTGCAGATATTTTCTCCCATTCCATAGGTTGTCTTTTCATTTTTTTTTTTTATGGTTTCCTTTGCTGTGCAAAAGCTTGTAAGTTTGATTAGGTCCCACTTGTTTACCTTCGTTTTTACTTCTGTTGCTTTGGGAGACTGAGCTAAGAAAACATTGGTACGATTTATGTCAGAAAATGTTTTGCCTGTGTTCTCTCCTAGGAGTTTTATAGTGTCATGTCTTATATTTAAGTCTTTAAGCCATTTTGAGTTTATTTTTGTGTGTGGTGTGAGGGTGTGTTCTAACTTCATTGATTTACATGCAGCTGTCGAACCTTCCTAGCACCACTTGCTGAAGAGACTGTCTTTTCCCATTTTATATTCTTGCGTCCTTTGTCGAAGATTAATTGACTGTAGGTGTGTGGGTTTGTTTCTGGGCTCTCCATACTGTTCCACTGATCTGTACATTTGTTTTGTACCAATACCACGCTGTTTTGATTACTGTAGCTTTATAGTATTGTCTGAAGTCTGGGAGAGTTATGCCTCCTGGAAACAACCTAAATGTCCATTGACAGATGAATGGATAAAGAAGATGTGGTACATGTAATACAATGGAATACTACTCAGCCATAAAAAAAGAACAAAATAATACCATTTGCAGCAATATGGATGCAACTAGAGATTACCATACTAAGTGAAGTAAGTGACAAAGAGAAAGACAAATACCATATGCTATCACTTATATGTGGAATCTAAAATATGGCACAATTGAACCTATCTACAAAACAGAAACAGACTCCCAGATGTAGAGATCAGACCTGTGGTTGCCAAGAGGGAGGAGAGGAGGGGGAGGGATGGACTGGGAGTTTGGAGTTTATAGATGCAAACTATTGCATTTAGAATGGATAAACAACAAGGTCCTAGTGTAGAACACAGGGAAGTATATCCGGTCTCTTGGGATAAACCATAATGGAAAAGGATATATATATAAAAGAATGTCTGTATGTGTATAACTGAGTCACTTTGCTGTACAGCAGAGATTGGCACAGCTCTGTAAATCAACTCTACTTCAATAAATAAATAAATAGCGGTCAGAATGCTCTGTTTTTCCAGGGCTTTAGAAGAGAATGCCAGAAGCATAAGATGATCACAAGAAAAAGGTTCTTTATCCAGGCGTATACAGAAGGGAGTTTCATTTCCCTAGAACAGTGGTTCTGAAAAGCATGGTCCCCAGTCCAGCAATGTTAGCATCACCTAGGAACTTATTCGTAATGTAAATTCTCAGGGGTGCTACTCGAGACCTACTAAATCAGACTCCAGAGGACGTGGGGGTGGGGCGGATGTGAGATTCAGAATCTGTGATTTAAAGCCTTCAGCGGGATCCTGATGCAGGCTAAAGTTTGAGAACCACGGCCTTAGAAAATTTCCCTTTCATCCTCAAATTCCGTTCATTTGAATCTTTTAGAAGCTTAGCATAAAAGCAGCACCACATGACTATTTTCTGAAGCCATATATCCTTTGTCTGAAAAATGAACCGAGCATTTATGTGTCAATGTATGTCTCTTATTAAACTGATATCAGATTTCTCAGGACTGCTCGATTATTGGGTTTGGATTTGCTTATTTGAGGAGACCACCTTCCACGCAGCGTTTCTATTCTGCAGACCTTCATATATCAGAAGAAGAAAGTGAGTTTTGGGTGTGATTTTTTTTAAATTCAAGGAGCTCTTCCAATAAATAAATAAATAACTTTTTTCCTCAAAAAAAGCTTTTATCATTTTTTAATCAGAGTTTTTCAGGGCATCTCTGCTTTTCTGATTATCAAGAATACTTCCTTGTACTTCTGCTGTTTACCACGTATAGTAATTTACAGTGTGTCTTTGGCTAGACGAGGGGCAAGTTTACACAAAACCTGGATCCTTAACATCTTTGTAAGGTAGGTGTAGAAGAAAAGAATGGAATCCATCAGGAATTCTGATTGGAACCTGTGGCTTTTTTTTCCCCTTTGCGTGGAGTGGCATTTCTTTTTAAACAACCTGTCAGTTTCTCAAGTAAGAATTATGTATAATTCCATAGCCTGCTTGGGATAAGACAAGGATAATAATGACTCAAGAATAGTAATAAGCCACAGAGGAGATCTTACAGACCACGGCAGCCAGCATATACCTGCGGGATTGGCCCCTGATCTGTGCTCCGGAAGAATCCGCAGGGATACCAAGGACCTCTCCTCTCAGTGAGGACCACAGGGGTCCTCCCTGGAAGTTCGACTGAAGAGCCTTCTTCCCAGACCTCTGTGGTTTTCCTCCCAGGCGTCTGATAAGAGCCTGAAGTAGGACTTGAACTTGCAGAACTTTCTCCAGGCTCGTTCCTTGGTCAGCAGAATTAATGAACACAATACAGTGCGTGTTCCACAGCAGGCCGAGGGCAGAGATGAAAGAACCGGGGTTCGAATGCCAGGCCCTGAGGAGTTCAAAGTCTTTTGTGCTTTTTGAAATGAGACGGACCCGGAGAATGTGGTGTGTGGTTTATGAGGAAAGCGCAAGACTGATTGGAGGGAAGGGAAAGCACCTGACCTTCCTTATTCCGCTGGGCCCTCAAGGTCCTGCCTAAAGGCAGGTAGGTGGTGGTGGTTCTTTCAGCCGTGCGTATTCGGGGGTGGGGGGGGGCGCAGCCTAACAGCAAGAATCCCATCTTGTCTTTTGACCAAGCTTCAGACAAGATCGTGTGAACTGCTGAAAGGGGGGAGTGAGGCCCTACAGCCTGAGGGAGACAGGCCTTCCAGTGGCATCTCCTTAGGTGACAGGCCACTCGTTTTTTTAGGTACAAATTTGCATGTGTTAATCTAGTCACCTCCAAGCAGGCCTCCGAAAACAGAGCGCTCTACTGAACGGACAGAGGAATTGCCAGACCTGAAATAGAAGTAAACTTCTCCATCCTTTAAGGAATCCCTGCCCCCTCCTTTTCTGCCAAAACAATGAGACCTTGCCTCACCAGCAGCAGCTGACCCAGGAATTCTTGGAAATCCTGGGGGATAATACCCTCCCTCCCGGGAGCCTCGGGCCTGCCCAGCCCTCCATCTTACTCCTAAAACAAAAACCTGCGCAGGTTTTATTGCATTTCTGAGGGGGAGGTGGAGAGAATTGACTTTGGTTTTCAGAAAAAGCAAGGTTTATTATGTGAAGACTTGTATGATACCTTGGGTTCAATTTTTTTTTTTTAATCAAAGTTTTTCAGGGCATCTCTGCTTTTCTGATTATGAAGAATACTTCCTTGTACTTTTTCTGTTTACCACGTAGAGTAATTTACAGTGTGTCTTTGGCCAGAGTTCCGCCAGACCGGCTGTCACTTCCACATCCCTCTGGGCGGCGGGCCAGTCACTGCTGCTCAGCCGGTGACTCTTAAAGGGGAAAAAGGAGTTTGCTGGAGCCAAACTAAGATGCTGATAAAAATGAAAATGAGTTTTGCTAATACACTTGAAAATCAAGACAGATTTATCGAAGCACTCATTCAAGAAAATCGGCATCCTGTTCCAAAGTCTGTGAAGATAATTTTTGATAAAAATTCAAACGTATTCTTGCATATAGTCTGTCTCCTGCTGCAATCAGGCCAAACTTTAAAAGCCAGATCGATTCCTCCTTCTCCCTCTCTCTCTCCCCTC